GGTTATCCCGTGTGTAGTCCTTCTAAATGATTTCTAACCGCCTATACTGACACGCTTTTAGTCACATCTGTTCTGAGCAATGCGATGGACGCCATGTGGCCGGCCATTGCTGTATTCTAGTTAAAATCAACATTGTCCATTTTATCTTCTATGAATACACACACACACACACACACACACACAGCACACACACACACAGCACACACACACACAGCACAGCACACACACACATACATATATGATGGGATAAGGAACAGTAGAAAAGGTTTATGGATCTAACATATTTCGCTTTTATTAGGTTGGTGCAAAAATAATTTCGTTTTTCTAACATATGTTACTATGTGAGAAAACGAAATTATTTTTCCACCAACCTAATATTAATGCTTCCTCAGAGAATGAAATATCGGAGAGGGAAAGAAAAAGAAAGAAAATTCTGCTATTTTTAATTTTGTGAAGCTTGTTTGTCATTCGTTGAGCAGAACACACGCGCATCTGTCTTGTCCTCTTCCAAGCCGTATTTAATCTATATTTAATCCTAATTCTCTTTCTCTCTCTCTCTCTCCCTCTCTCTCTCTCTCTCACACACACACACACACATATATATATATATGTATATATATATATTAATGCCATAAAGAGACAAAAATTAATTTTATTATTACCACTCTTACCGAGGTTATGATAATAAAAAGTAAAACTAAACGGTTTCGAACCTCGCTCAACTGAGCTAAATCGAGGTTAATAAAGTAAAGTATTAAAAAAAAAAAAAAAAAAGAAAAATAGACAAAGTGTATTGGGGCCCCAAAAAAAAATTAGATGGTGATTAGTTGGAGGCCTAATACAAAGTCCTTCTATTTAAATAGAGAAGGCTTTAATGATAGAATATCTCATGACCATCTATATTCTACCATTAAAGCCTTCTCTATGTAAACAGAAGGACTTTGTATTAGGCCTCCAACTAATCACCATCTAATTTTTTTTCTTTAATTGAAAGCTAAAGGATTAAATTTATTATTTCCAGTAAATAAAATATTCAGATAGAAATTATATAGATTGAATGCTCGATTTTTTTACAAATTTTCTTAAAAGCGGCCATTTTCTTATATTTTAGGAAATTTGTAAACAAATAATTTTCGATTTTAAAAATCTTCCTAAAATAAATTATATATTTCTGACACGTTATTTGAGTAAAATTAGAAAATTTAAAGTTAAATTAATCTGATTTGAAACAAAGATTACTTACTTATAGCATAAAAAAAATTGTATGTAAACATTTCTTTATTTTGTCTGAATTTTTTCATGTCTTTATTCCCATTATCAATATTATTGGGAAGTTACGAGGCGATGACAACTACTATGGATGACCAAAATTGACAAAATTTTACGAAATGTAATCGAACAATTTTTTTTTTTTAACTAGTAATTTTTAAATATTAACATTTTTTCTAGCAATTATGTAATATTTATTTTATATTTAATACTTTTTTCAGTCTGGGCTTTGTTTCTTAGGTTCTTAATCTTCTTATCTTATTTAATAACTTATTAACTTAAACAAAAAATTACTTCAATGAAATATGACCCATCTAAAATAAATACCTAAAATAAAAATATTTAGTAAAAAAGTAATTAACAAAAATTAAAACTAACTTAGAAATTAGCTAATTTTGAAAGGATATTTGCAAACACGTTAGTGGTTAACGATGTGAAACAGAACTGGATACTGAAGGGAAATAATTGCAGTGCGTCAGACGACACTCAAATCACGTGACCAATAGAGATTAGGAACGTTTTTTCACTAAAAATTATTTTTAAAATATCCGGGTTCAAACGACTGATATGAGCTTTACAAATTTCGATTCGTAAATTTACTTTTCATTTAACCATATCACCAAATTGCATTTTAAAAAGCAATGAAGAATTTTAAACGATGTTTGAAGTATTAATTAATATTGTAAATAAAAGTTTTAAAAAAAGAAAAAATTCTTGTAAAAATACATTATTCATCGAAAAAGTTTTATTTCTTCAGACAATAATGTCCTTATTATATAAAACTTATTTACAAAAGCTAGTAAAAGCTTTTCAAATTAAATAATATCATAGTTTTTTGCATTTTTTTTAACAGTTCAGAGCAAATTTTCGATGAAACAGGTAACTGTTTTACAAAAAATATTGGTGATTTACTTTCTCTAAATATTCCTGTTTTTAACTAATAAAAAATCCCACTCATAAAAATTTAATTTTTCTAAATTTCATGAAAATATGTAAGGAGGTGGAAACATGTAAAAAAAAAATTTCAAAAATAATTTCATTCATTTCTGAATATTTCCTGAAAATTTCATTAAAATCCGACAATTATGTGAATTTGCAAGAATTTCCAAATCAATGTGTGTCTTCCTCGGGAAAAGCGCAAAATAAAACAAACCTTTTTTCTCTCGTCGACCGCTGTCGTAAAAAAATACAAGATTTTTAACCAAAATTTTGAACGTACTAGAAAGGAGGAAAAATTCTCAAAAATAATAAAACATAGTTTGGCCTTTCCTCTTAATAATAACATAAACATTTTGATGACAAAACTTTGTTTTCGTTGAGTTTGGGGCCTTTTTCATCAGGCTATGCTGCTTTTTTACGCGACCTAGTGGAGGTACCTAGTTAAATAATATCGACAATGTCTCTGTCAATTTTTCTATAATATTTTCCTAATTTCCTAATTAATTGTGATCGGCAAATTAATTCAAGTTAAATTTCTTTAAAGCTAATCTTATCTCTTCATCAACAACATGGTTTGGGAAATTATTGTTCATAAGTGTTTGTTTTATGCTATTTAAATCTCTATAAAACAATGTGTCTGAAGAGAAAATCATTTTAGCACGATAATTCAGATTTTTTATGACAGCTATTCGGACATTCGCTATTACATAAGGTAACCAAACAGTTCTTGGCATCTTGTACGTCGTGTGGGAAGAACTGCTCACGTACTCGGAAAGCGATAAGGTAGGGACATTACTTTTGACCAATCCAGTCGCGTTGCTCAGATACATCAGTCACAGCTCCGAGCAGCTACAAGGAAATATGACGGTGTCGAAACAACTCGTTTGGAGTTGTTTGCTTTATGACTTCTTGTCCGCGGTCACCTCAAGTCGCCGAATACGTCGAGCCTTTGGGAATAATTCTGTGAGTGAACGCACTGTCAGGCATTGGTTCCAGATGTTCAGGTAAGGAGATCTCTCCCTTTGTGTTAAACCCGGCAGTGGCTAGCAACAAGTCCTGGATGATTAGGCTCCAAAGACGACCATAGAAACGGACAACACCCAAACCTGTGGTGCCCTTGCCGAACACTTCTAGGGTTCTGGTGAAACAGTCGGATTTCACTTGCATTGAATAGGGAAGGCGTACAAGTTGACCAGGTGAGTACCCCATACACAAGCTTCAATCAGTGACAGCGTGTTTCTCGTTGCTTTCTCGCTACCCTAACATACGCATATTTGGTCGAATGCTTACCAGTGACGAAAAGTGGGTACTGTCTGAGACGCCCAAGCGTGCCAAACATTGGTCGTCACCACGGGACTCTGTGCCTCACGCCACAAAATCATCTCAACATCCACGCAAGATAATGATCTGTATCTGGTGGACTAGTCGACATGTGGCGTATTATGAGCTGCTACCAACGGGACAAACCATCACTTCGGACCTGTACACGCAGCAATTGGAACGCGTGCAACAGACACTGAAGCAGAAGGAGCTAGCATCGGTTAATCGCAACGGTGTACTGTTCCTCCATGACAATGCCAGCCCTTATGTGGCGCGGGTGGTCAGGGACACGCGACTTGGCCGGGAGACACTGTGCCATCCACTTTTCTCCCTGAAACTTGCGCAAATAGTTTACCACCTTTTCCATTCCCTGAACATCCACCTTCATGGGAAATCCTTTGCAAATGAAGCAGACTTGAGACAGCCATTCACATATTTATGTACATGACACCTGATTTTTACCGCAGCTCATGGGACGTTGGCAAAATGTCCTTTCGCCGACGGGTATTACTTTAAGGATTAGCGGTGTGTCAAATTTGATGTATACGTTTTTTTGTTTTTTAATAAATAAAAAACGGCAGGGATTTTTTTGTTACCTTATAATATACGAGGTGCTGCTGGAATAGTTCTTGACATAGATTACTTAGATAGAAAGAGATTCTTGAGTCGGAGAAATTTTGCATTCTTTCGTCTAAATAAACACGGATGTACAGTGCATCTGACTAATAATAATCCCATTATGTATACAAATAAAACAAACATAAACGTATACACTCACATCGTTGATTGAGTGTTTTTGTTTAGCGGCATATCAACATCTCTATGGGTTATTTAATCTAAATATTTTGAACACAATTTTATGACTTCAACTGAATATATTTTGAACGCGATTGCCTGCCTTCGAATACAGATATAATGTATTCCTGATAATTTTACTGTAAATAGGAATTGTTGCTAATTTTACTATAAAAATATATTTTTATGCTTTCCTACTGTTTAGTGTTTGTTTGGGCATTCACTATTTACCCATAGCTGGGACCCAAACAGGTGTTACGACCCCGGGTCAGGCTGGACCTGGGAACAAGAGTAATTTAGATGTGGTTTTATACTCCTCCAATTCTCCAATCTTCTGATCAGAGTCCTTGTTGCTGGAGGTAATTTATCGTCATACCGTGGAATATACCCACATAGATATGAATATATAGATGCTTATGCATCTATAGACACATATTCATATTTTATATGCATCAATCTCATTTTTTCAATATATTCTTATGTGAGATGAGTTGGCGTGTGTATATTCATGTGGATATGAATGTGTATATGCATGTGTATATGCATGTGTTTATAGTGTATGTTATTTTATCATAAGACTCATATTTGTGTTTTTGCATTAGCATTCTAAACCTTATTTGTGTTCGCTTCTTCCGAGCTGGTAGTTTTCTCCGAAACACACGCTAATCCTCAAGACTATGCTGTCATCTCTCTCTCTCTCTTTCTCTCTCTCTCTCTTTCTCCCTCTCTTTCAATTCATTCTCTCTTTATCCTTTCCTTCCTCGTCACACAATCGTTTCACAGGCTTCCCACCTGCTGCTCGGGGAACCTGTTTCCTCAGTTTCGACTTTTGCGACTCTTCTTTCTTTGATCCGATATTTTTATTTTCATAACTTCCACTTGTATGGATTGCGGCATTGATTCCCTCACCAAGACTTTCCAATTCCGGGATTTTGTTGAAGATTTCGCTGCGGTAGAACGCCAGATCCACGAAATCATTTCCCCAGCTTAATAATCACTGACTATCCGTATCCATCAGTTGGCATCTTCAATTCCGATCATATTAACATAAGTCAATCTGTTCCTTTCTGTTTATGCACTTCAATCTATCTATCTATCTATCTATCTATCTATCTATCTATTACAGGTAATCGAGGCGCGTAACAGTGCTTAAGCACGTCTATCTATCTATCTATCTATCTATCTATCTATCTATCTATCTATCTATCTATCTATCTATCTATCTATCTATCTATCTATCTATCTATCTATCTATCTATTACAGGTAATCGAGGCGCGTAACTTAGTGCTTAAGCACGTGTATCTATCTATCTATCTATCTATCTATCTATCAGTTTGTTCATATCTATCTATCTATGTATCTATGTATCTATCTATCTAAGGAAATCGAGGCGTGTAACTTAGTGCTTAAGCACGTGTATCTATCTATCTATCTATCAGTTTGTTCATATCTATCTATCTATCTATCTATCTATCTATCTATCTATCAGTTTGTTCATATCTATCTATCTATCTATCTATTAAAGAAAATCAAGGCGCGTAGTGATAAAGCACGCATGGCTATCTATCAGTCTGTTCATATCTATCTATCTAACTGTTTATTAATATCACTCTCTCTCTCTCTCTCTATCTATCTATCTATCTATCAATGTTTGTTCATATCTATCTATCTATCTATCTATCTATCTATCTATCTATCCTACATGTAATACTTTATTCTCGATTGTTCGCGTCTATGTAGCTTTGCCAGTCCTATCTAACATTCTACTCAATCTGTTTATGTGTATTTTACTTTGTGACTATATAATTCAGTCCATATCAATGTCGCCTTCATGTTAGTCTGATAATTGTTTGTCCTTGCTTAATTCTCGTGTTTCAAATTCGTCGTTCGTATCTTGGGCTGTTCCTTTTTCTTGTTTTCCTGCAATGGATGTTTAGTCCATTCTTTTGGTTTTTCCTTTTTCTATTTACTCTTGGAGTTTCATGTAGTACGCCATCGGTGTGTCTTATCAACACTGTGTCATCTGCATATCTTATGTTGTTAAGATTGTGGCCGCCATTAATGAATCCCGGTAGAACTTCTAATTCTCTCAGGACCCTCTTACAGAAATGTCCAGTGAGACGACACACCCTTGTCTTACATCCTTTTCTATTTTTGAGTATTTACTGAATTCATTTTATATAAAACCAAACTAGTTGTATTCCATCATCGCTGACCAGACCCCGAACTACCACCAGTTACGGATGAACGAATGTACCCTTCGGGGAGACCCCGTGACTTGAAAGACTATTGAACCTGACACCTGGCCTCAATTGGAACTCCTACATACGATTCATCGCTAGGGATGTAGGGAAAATGGTAGGCTCCCTGTACCGCTCCAGTAAGTATCTGCCTCCTTATGCACCCCCCTACTTTTACAAGAGGCAGATAAGGCCCAGAATGGAGTACTGCTGTCATATTTGGGTGGCAGATTCCCAGTCTTCACTTTCTGGTCTCGATAGAGTTCAAAAGCAACTCTAAGCCCTTGTTGGGGACGAATTATTTTCCACCGTCCAATCTCTCTGTTGTGGGGCTCTCCCCCTTTTTACATAAGATGGATTCGTCCAAAGTATACTTATACTGACAGAGAGAATACCTGCGGTTGAGACACGTCGAGATACAGTCTCGACGTCTGTCGAACGCTCTGCTTTGGCAGAGAGGAACCCGGACGAAGCTTTGCCGAAGAGCAAGGTTTCGTCCGGGGAGGTAAAAAGGCCCTGAACCCGTCTAGGCGGGTTCAAAGGGTATATTTTTGGCCGAACCTACGGGATCGGAGAAACCCACTTTAAACTAGGCCTTGTGCCACATATATTCCTCGTGGGTGGGATATTAAATACAGAGATACGTTGAGACAGATTGAGAGATACGGAGACAGACACAGGGTGTTCTCAGAGAATTATACGAGATATATATATATATATATATATATATATATATATATATATAGAGAGAGAGAGAGAGAGAGATGATTACGGCTTTACTTACAGAGACTTGTACATATACTTTCTAGTAACCCGCATTCCTGGACTACTAATATTCACTTCAAGTCTGTATTCTTACGTTTAATACACTTATTTTTCTATCTCAATTACTGGCATTGTTTATTTATTTGTACAGGATTCCATTCCCGGAATCCACAACACTCTCTCTTACAGGCGGGATGTGTCAAGCCCCTCACTGCTCTATCGTTACTAGCATGGAATGTGCTTGGACGAACTGCATTCCTTGGTTCCGTCAGGTCTAACATTTACGGCTAAGTCCCACCATGCCACTCACATTGTAGCAAACCACCGTCATTCCCTCCGTATTCCCCGGTGAGAAGTTAATTCCACTTGAACAGCTTCTTCCCGCGAACAACTGCTCTGTGGAACAGACTTCCAAGTGAATGTTTTCCGGATTACTGCGATCTTAACCTGTCCAAGTCTAGGATTAACCGTCATCTTCTCCTCCTATCTGTATAAACTGCCTCTTACTGTATCCATCAATCTCGATTGACCTCCGTGCCTTGAACAGTATGAATCTCACTGTAAAAAGATATATATATATATATATATATATATATATATATATATATATATATATATATATATACAATAAAATGGCTTAAACACTAATATTGAGTTTTACCTGGATTCTATCCTCTTGCAATTTTTATTAAAAAATATACATGTATTGGGTATTTATATATTTTGCATATATATGTATATTTACCACTAATATTATCTATCTATCTATCTATCTATCTATCTATATATATATATATATATATATATATATATATATATATATATATATACATATAAATATAGATAACTAGACTCGTTTTTGAAAAACCCTCGAATTTTTTGATTTGCTAATCAAATCAATCTCGAGGGAAAAAAGGTTTTAAAAAAGAAAGATCTACAAACATGAACTTCTGCCGACAAAAAATCGCACAGACGAGTAACAACTGACTAATAAAAGAGCTCAATACAACCGTAGAGCAGACCTAGATACACCTAGTGAGCCAGACTGGCTCACTAGGTGTATCTATATATATATATATATATATATATATATATATATATATTATTATATATATATTATATATATTATATTATTAATATATATATTATATATATATTAATATATATATTATATATTATATATATTATATTAATATATTTATTATGTATATTATACATATATTATTATATATATATATATATATATATATATATATATATATATAATATATATATATATATATATATATATATATATATATATACATATATATATATATATATATATAATATATATATAATAATATATATATATATATATATATATATATTATTATTATTATTATTATATATATATATATATATATATATATATATATATATATATATATATATATATTGATCTGTAAGCTTCCAGTATAACTTCTGGATTATTCTAATATTTTTCCCAAATAAATCAAGCTTACCTAGTAGTTCAAGTAGTTCTTTGCGACGCATTTGAATCCTTTATAAAACATAGAAATCTTTTGAATTTGTCTTGCTCTTTCTGTTATTCTGAGTATTTTTACCCCAGTGTCTTTCATGAAATCATCCCATTTCCTGTTAAATTCTACAACAGAGTCTATTCGTCAAAATTCATCTGAGATTTATTCCTTTATAATTGCTATATATGCCACGAGGCTGATTGCCTGGTGTAGTTTGCATTCGTTTGCACCTGTCTTCTTAGGCAGCGATATGAAAATGCGTCTACTTAGATCTTCGGACATAATCAACACTGTCGTATCTTTGATTTATTATGCTTGTAATTTTGTCAATACCGAAATCTTCTAAAGCTGACAGTAACTCCATTACAATCTCATCTGGTCCGTTCTGTGACGTTCCTCTTCAATTTGTTCAGTAGTAATTTCACTCCAGATTTTAATATATCTCTTCCTCCTATATTTTTCTGTAATATTTCCGTTAGTATTTTAACGTCCAGAAATAAAATTTTAGATCAGTTTATATATATATATATATATATATATATATATATATATATATTTTTTTAATGAAAAACAGACACTTTAAGGTACCATTACAATAATTTATTTCACCAAAATCCTTTTTAAAGGATTTCGGATCATCAGGTAACACTTCCAACAATGAAATGAGAGGAAAAATGTGATTAGAAATTGATGGGTAGTGTAATTTTTGTAATTAAACAGGGAGGGTGAAGGTGGCGGTTAAAGAGACAATACAAAATATAGGGTGGGTTAAATTTACATCTCTCTTAAATAAGCTTTAAATTGGGGTAGGAGGAGTGACTTAACCTTGACACACACACACACACACACACACACACACACACACACACACACACACACACACACACACACACACATTCCATGATTATAATTTATTACACTGGAATCGTAATCACGATCCAATTCATCAGACCTACGAATTAAAAAAAAAGCTTTTTGAATTTGTAGGTCCGATGTATTGAATCATGATTACAATTCCAATGGAAATAAATTATAACCACGGAATATTAATGTTTGAGCTTTTTTTATTATATAATACATGACTCTTCGGTAAATCGAATCGAGTTCTCGCAGTCACTGTGTGTTTATTTAAAAATAAATACGTTTAAATTCAATTACTTCCTTGCAAGTGTGCCAACGGCTTAGCGGTAAAATCTCCGACTGACGCCATTTCAGCCTGGTTTCGATCCTAGCTAGAGGTTGATATCTCTCTATTTGTGATTTATCTTTTGATATGTATTTCTCTGCGACACCGAAGTTCGGTGTTCAAGCCTAGGTAAATGCTAGCGTTTCCCTTGTTGTTTTTCAAAGCAGATGTTTACAAAGAAGTAGTCTCTTGGATGAAATCTACACTTGGAAAAACGATCAGGCAAAATGTTACGTGATAAAAGTAATAATAATTAGGATGATAGGGAAAAAAATGACAGAAATAATTTAATGTCCATGGAAACAGGGCAAATAGTTTATTCAGGCCATAGACGGTCAAGGTTCACCACATATTCCTACATTTATTGTCTGTAAATTGAGAAATCGGAGAGCCGAGTTCGAATTCCAGCCAGATCCATTACATTCACTTACGTGCTAATACCCTTGGGAAAGGTATGAATCCTCTTCTTCTTCCACCCAGCTGTGGGTAAATAGCAAGACAGACCGGGTTCTATAGCCTTGGATGGCAACTGGTCTATCGCAGAAAGAAATGGCAAACTACTGCGGGGAAATATCTGCCTGGTCAGTGATGTATCGAAAGATACATGATCGCCAAAGCGTGTATCACGCATGGCACATAACTGACTGAATTGTTATACATTCCTGGAAAATACACTAGAACGGTTTGTCGTTGCCTTCTCCACGTCTTTTTGGAATTCAGAGACTTCCTTCATGTCAGACTTCACTTTACCAGACTGCCGCTCAGCTACTATCTGTCAAAAGAAAAGGTTACTGATGAAAGGGTTCCCGCCCAAGGATAGAGAACCCAGCCTATCCTGCTATTTAAGCCCATAGCTGGAAATAAAAGAGGAGTATTGGTGTCTTTCTTAGTGGGCGTGAAAGCGAACGCAACAGATTCGACCGGAATTTGAACACGGCTCGCCGATTCTACTCTCAGTGCTGATATCGTTTGCATTTCGAGCGCATCCTCAAGC